ATCTATCACACTTTGTTCATATAGTGTATCTATCACACTCTCTTCAATTTGTGTATCTATCACACTTTGTTCATATAGTGTATCTATCACACTCTCTTCAATTTGTGTATCTATCACACTTTGTTCATATAGTGTATCTATCACACTCTCTTCAATTTGTGTATCTATCACACTTTGTTCATATAGTGTATCTATCACACTCTCTTCAATTTGTGTATCTATCACACTTTGTTCATATAGTGTATCTATCACACTCTCTTCAATTTGTGTATCTATCACACTTTGTTCATATAGTGTATCTATCACACTCTCTTCAATTTGTGTATCTATCACACTTTGTTCATATAGTGTATCTATCACACTCTCTTCAATTTGTGTATCTATCACACTTTGTTCATATAGTGTATCTATCACACTCTCTTCAATTTGTGTATCTATCACACTTTGTTCATATAGTGTATCTATCACACTCTCTTCAATTTGTGTATCTATCACACTTTGTTCATATAGTGTATCTATCACACTCTCTTCAATTTGTGTATCTATCACACTTTGTTCATATAGTGTATCTATCACACTCTCTTCAATTTGTGTATCTATCACACTTTGTTCATATAGTGTATCTATCACACTCTCTTCAATTTGTGTATCTATCACACTTTGTTCATATAGTGTATCTATCACACTCTCTTCAATTTGTGTATCTATCACACTTTGTTCATATAGTGTATCTATCACACTCTCTTCAATTTGTGTATCTATCACACTTTGTTCATATAGTGTATCTATCACACTTTGTTCATTTGGTGTATCTATCACACTCTCTTCACATGTTCGCTTTGTGTATCTATCACACTTTGGTTACTTTGTGTATCTATCACACGTTCGCTTTGTGAATAGAGTGTGATAGATACACTATACGAACAAAATGTGATATATACACTAAGTGAACTAGCATGTGCGATAGATACACAAAATGAACGAAGTGTATACAGGTCGACCGTCCTGACGACCACCCAAATGACTGGTGCAACACTTATCTACCGCCGTTGTCACTTTTATCGATCGCGGCTGTCACCTTATTGCCGATCGACCGGTCAGACAATCGACAAAAAACGAAAAAAAAAAAAAAAAAAAACACAAATCATTTGAATAAACTCAAATTCGAGTTACGTAACATTGTTATATTACTGTTTTTGTATTTTCCACGTAAGAGATTCATGGATGATAAACCATGAGTACAACAATGATGTAACATGAGCAAATCATCAACTAACAGGCCACATTATTTATTAGAAATAAGGCTATATTCAGATTTTTTGAATACAAGGTACCGAGCCCACATGAGCCCACTTGTTTGTTTATGGCGAGTAAAACGATATATAAAAATTGAGTCTATGGATATCATTTTCAAGTAACTATTTTGTTTCTCCGGATTACCAAACACGTGTTGATGTCTAATAAAAAATGAATAAAAAAAAGAGGAAATTACCCTTCGCATGAATTTTTAAAAGTTATTACACATTAGTGGAAAAATTTATAATTTTAATAATTAATATTTATAATATTTAATATTTTTTTTATAAAACAAATTGTTTGACATCCATTGTGATGTAATTTCTCCTAATATAAATTAAAAAATTAAAATAAAAAAGTTAGATTTCCTTTGATGAATCATCTAGATTAGAGAGTGTTGTTCCGACTCGTAAAATCCATCACAAATTTCGTTTAGATAGTCCGAATAATTTATTTTGTATGATCATTCGTATATACTATCCATGAATATATATATATATACAGACCCCGGGTCACTGGGGGTCGTGTGTGTTGCCCTAAAAATTTTTTTTAAAAAAAACTGTCTTTTTTTTTTTTTTTTTTTTTTTTTTTTTTTGTGTGTGACAAAACACGATAAATTGAATTACAATTATCAAATAAAAAATGATAAATTAAATAAGTTATGATTATCAAACTTTTTAGTTTTTCATTTTTGCAGAGGATATATACTTTTTCATCTGCAAAATGAATGGTTTGGACCATAAAAAACACACATGGTGAGGCCTAGCTAGTCCTCAAAAAATTAATTACTTTTATAATCCAAAAATTAAAAATAATATAAATAAATGATAAATTACCATTTATCGAGCATACAATTTTTAAAAATCATATCAAAATTTCCCATTAAGCAACTTTCACGTAATTATCAAAATTAAAAGGAAAATATTTAGAAGTATTCAAAATTTGAAATGTCAAATTAAATGTGATTGTAATCATAAGAAATTGAAACTACACCATAAATTTGAATTGTAAATACTCTAATACTATGTTTGGTTGGAGGATTTGAGAAGAGATTTGGAAAGGAAAAGGGAAAAGGTGTGTGAAACTAGGTGAAATATAAGCATGTTTTATTCACATTTCACCTACCTTTTCCATTTCCCTTTCCAAATCCCTCTCCAAATCCCCAAACCAAACACAGCATAAATAAATGTATTTGAAACAACAGACATTTCTACTACATAATAAGCAAGATTAAATGAAGGTGTTTGACCTAATGGTTGTATAGCATCACTTGTAATATGAGATTTCAGATTCAATTTTTATTAAAAAAAAATTAAAAAAAAAGTTTGATATCTTTTGTTGTGTTTATTGCTCCCTCATTATGAAGTTATATGTGTCATTCTTTTCTTCTCAAGTTGAAATTATTTATTATGGCACTTATTGAGCCTACTAATTGTTAAACTTTAATTGTTCACTTTAATATAATACTTGTCATATTTATAATTAATATCTCACCAAATAAAAAATAAATAAAACAATTTGATTATCCCAAATAGAACTCAAGATTGGGAGCTATTGCATTTGGAAACTCCTATCATGCATCCTACATGCTGCAACTTCTTGTTACTTGACCAATAATAACACCTTGCCTAAATTATAAAAAGAAAATGTCAAATCAGTGATATTTACAAAGAAATAATTATAAATTAGTAATAAATTTTATACATATTAATACTTAAAAACATAAAAATATATATATATATATATATATTTGTAATTATTTTTTAAAAAGTAAAGTCAATTGTAATTTTCCCAATTATAAACTCAAGAAAATCCCTTCTAGAAAAAAAAACTCAAGAAAATATTTTGTCTAATAGGTTGTACTGTATATTTGTTTTTCTCACATACTCAATCATTCTTGATAAGTTTCACATGTATAATAGACACACGAGTACACCACGATCACAACATAAAAGATGATTGGCAAAATAGAATTTTTCAAAAGAAGAAAGAAAAAATTACAATTTTGTCCAATCTTTTAAAAATAATTTGAAATAAATGGGAATTTTATAAATATCAACAATTATAATTATAATTTTTTTTTCATAAATGTGTAATTATTTTGTGTCAAACCCACTTTAATATAATTTTTTCAAAACAAAAAAGAATAAAGTTTGCTGACTTTTTCTACCATAAGCATTAACACTATGTTTGAATTTTGATATTGTATTTTTGATTTATTAAAAAAATAAACTTGAAATATAAATAATAAATAATAAGAAATATTTTTTCACTTTATTTTTGTTATTGTTTTCTTTATTTTTTATTTTTCTCCATAACTCCATAACCTAAGCATAGCATAAATTTGAAAAAAGAAAAGTGAAATAAAATTGGCAGATCCTACCTTGTGCAAAATAAAACAAAAAATAACTTCCCTCATTTTAGGGAATGATCAAATGAATAAGTGAAACATGTGTGGTTGTGATCTGTACTCACTTACACTTCTACTAATTTATTTATAATTAATTTTTCTATTTCTTATTTATTTGATGTTTTATTGTGAAATTATCTTGTTCTTTTTTTATTTATTTTTGTTCATATTTTCATTTCTGTCGATAAATCAATTTAGGATGAAAAAACATATGAAAGTAAGGCTTCTACCGTTTCGACTTTATCCCAAAAAATAGCTACCATGTACATTGATTTTGCACAATTAAAAAAAATAAATAAATAAATAATTTATTGACATTTGAAACAAAAATTTATGTTGGGTAGAAAACTAATATAGAGTTAATTTTTTTTTTTTTTTTTTTGAAAAGATCAATTTCCTAAAAGAACCGAGTCCAAAGTGAATTTCGTAATAGGAAAATGTCTCGTAGCTCAAATTTTGTGGCTCAAAAGTGGCTCAAATGGCCAAAACGACGTCGTTTTGGCCATTTTTATGTTGTTCTGTACTCAAAACGACGTCGTTTTGGTCATTTGAGCCACAAAATTTGAGCTACGTAGCATTGACTTGTGAAATTAAATTATTATGAGAAGTGAAAAAATATGTTTTACTTACTTTTTGTTAAATCAAATAACAAAAAAAAGATGTAAAATATTATTTGCCCATTATAAAAAAAAAAATCTAACTTATTAAGGAGATATGCAATCTTTAAATTTTAATTCAATTTTTGAAATCAACCTATAAAAAAAATCAAATTCAAATTTGAATTTTTTTTCCATCATTGCCCTTCTATTTAAATTTTAAACATTCCAAAATAAAAAATAGACAAATATTTTAAAACAATTAAAATAAAAAAGTGGATTAATAAAATGGGACTGTGAGAGTATATTTTAGTGAAACATGTTAGGTGGAAGGAATTACATGCGGATGAAGGTGGGTAAGTGAGGTATTATATTAGGTAATTAAAAAATATAAAGAACATATTAAATGATGATTAGTTATAGAATACAGACACGTAATATTTCGAAAATACTAAATAATTTCCCCTAAATGAGTGTGGGGTGTTTTGAAAAGTTAGTAAAAAATTAACTTTTTAATTTTTTTTAATTTATTTTGTCTTTTTGTGAATAAATTATGTGAGACATGATATAATTCAAAATTAATAAAAAAATTAAAAATTAATTTTTTACTAACTTCTCAAAAAGCACGGAGTGACGCAGCCATGGTAAGCAAGGAAGGAGTAACAATGGGATGGAAGAGAGAGAGACAGAGAGACTCACAATGAGAAATTCCCTTAGGAAGAAGTCAGGGACCCACTTGGAAATAGTGTACTTGTGGATTGTTATAGCCGTGAGGAAACGCATATCGTCAGGTTTCTCAGGACAAAGCATGTCCGTCCATTTTCTCCCCATCTGATGTTCTCGTTTCTGCGCCTCTGTAAACCCTATTCCACTACCGACGATCACCAGTTTCTCCACCATCTCTGGATAAATATGAGCCATCTGATACCCGACCCAACCCCCGTAACTAAGCGCATACACCGAGAACCTCTCCACACCCAATCTCTTCAACCCTTGACCCACACAAGCCGCTTGAAACTCTACTGTCCGGTCCGACCGTTTTGAGTAGGACTTGCCAAAGAACAACAGGTCTGGTATGTGCAAATTGAAACTTTCTGACAGTTGGCCCACTTGGCGAATGAACTGCCATGTGGAAGTGCTACCGTAGCCATGGATTAAGACTAGGACTGGTTTGTTGAACTGCCTGTGGTTGGCGGTCCAATAGTGCATGGTGGTGTGATCATCTAAGTCGACGGTGCACGGTGACAAACCACAGGACCGGTAGTAGAGGGATATCATGGCATCAACGATTGTAACAATGAAGGGGAATCGATTCATATGCGATAACCCCAACTCTATGAATTGTGATGTCGCAATTTTGATGGAGAGATACACTGAGTGGAGATCATGAAACCACTTTTTGCAGTAAAACTGAAACAAGTCCATCGTGGATGGATGGATGGGCAATTGAGATGCCATATGTGCATCACAACGGAATGCTCCCTCCTCAAAGTTGTAGACTCTAGTGGGATTTGAGATTTTAAAGGGTAAAAAAAAAAAAAAAAAATGGTAAATTATTTTTTTAATCCTGGGGGATCCTAGATGTCTAGGCAAACTCCTAATTCATAGAACCTTGTTGTAATTTTGCATGTTATGTTACCCAATTTGTCCTATGTATGGTTGATTGGTTGATAGAAGATATGGGGATGTGTGTGTTTTTACTGGGCATTCCAAGCTCATGGCGTGTCATGCCAGGTGGTGAAGCAGTTATAATGATGAAAGTTATTGCAAAGGCAAATACGATGAAGTGTTGGAGCGGTGGTTCGTTTGAAGACTTAGACTAGTTGTTTTTGTTTTCAATGTTTTGTAATCCTGCAATGGAAAATAAACGAATGATCCGTGATTCTAACTCTGGTTATATATGTATATTAAGATGTTTTGGTTATCTATCCTATTTGTGTGGTAATATTGTACTTAATTAACGGCCTGGAAGTTGGGGCGTTACAATATATATATACATATTACATTCTAAAGGTATAGACATTTTTCAGACAAATCTATTACTTGACTGAACAAGTTTTTAAAAAACACAGAGATTGTCACAACCTCCAAAAAAAAAAAAAAAAAAAAAATTCTTATCATGTGATCGAAACATAGGGGTGTAATTTTGGCCCCGCCCGGCCCATGTCGGGCCTACCAGGCTCCCGCCAAAAAATTCGGCCTGGCTGGATTGGCCCACGAGCCAGATAACTAGGCCCAGGCCCAAGCCCAGGCCTAGGGATATTTGGGCTTTGGGTGGGCCTCGAGCGGGGCCCTTGGGCTTAGGCCTGGGCTCGGGTTTTGGGCGAGCCTAAATAATTTTTTTTATTTTTTTCACCAAAATTTTATTATTTTTTATTAAAAATAACATTGGGCATCGGGTGGCCGGGCGGGCCAGGCCTCGAGCTGGGTTTTTGGGCTGGCTTTCAGCGGGCCAATGAGGCCACGGGCCGGGCTTCAAAACGATGGCCTAGGCCCTGGCCTAAGGCCTCGGGCTGGGCTTGGGCTAGGGCCTGAACAGGCCTTAACGGGCCGGGCCCACGTCGGGCCACGGCGGGCTTCAGGTCGTCCGTGGGACACAGGCCAAAATTACACTCCTATCGAAACGGAGTATATAAAAACTTAATCACAAATTAAGTCAATTGATAGTTAAAAAATACAATCAATTTTTCGTTTAAAAAACACAATGAGTTAAAAACTCAATTACAAATTTTTTTTTTTGCAAGGCAAAAAATACAATCTAATTATTATCAATAGTGGGTACTTTATGTGCATCTAATGAATACAATCCATTCTGTTTTATTTTTCAAAAAAACACAGAGATTGTCACAACCTATACAAATTTTTTTCTCATTATGTGATAGAAACTGAATGTAAAAAAACACAATCAATTAAAAAATAAATCTCTGTGTAATCAAAACGGAATGTAAAAAAATGCAATCACATTGTTCTCAAAATAAAAAAAAAATAGTGAAATCAATTGGTAGTTGAAAACATAATCATTTTTTTTTTCAAAAAACACAGTGAGTTAAAATCCAATCACAAACTAAGTCAACTGATAGTTAAAAAATACAATAATTTCCAATCACAAATTTAGTCAACTGATATTTTAAAAAAACAATCATTTAAAAAAAAAACAACGAGTTAAAAAATTCAATCAATTTAAAAATATAATCATCGTATCATCAAAATAGAGTGTAAAACCCAATCACAAATTAATTACAAATTTTTTTAATTGATATTTGAAAAAACACAAAAAATTTTTTTTAAAGACACAGTAAATTAAAAAATCCAATTAGTTTAAAAATACTATCACCGTATCACCTAAACGGAGAGTAAAAAACCACAATCACAATTTTGCTCATAATAAAAAATAAATGAAAAAAACGGAGTGTAAACCCGAAATACAGTGAGTTAAAAAACCCAATTAATTTAAAAATACAATCACTGTATCATTAAAATAGACTACAAAGAAACCACAACATTAATTACAAAATTTTTTAATTGGTTTTTAAAAAACACAATTTTTTTCTTTTTAAAAAAAAAACATTGTGTGTTAAAAAACCCAATAATTTAAAAATACAATCATTGTATTATCAAAACGGTGTGTAAAAAACCACAATCACATTTTTTTCATAATAAAAAAAAACAAATGAAGAAAAAAAATTGAAAAATAAATAAAAAATGCACTTACAAACTTTAAAAATTTTGTTGGAATGAAGATTGTGACTATGAAAGTGTCAGCGTTTTTCCCCATAGTTTGTCCAACTCTCTCTCTCACTCTCCCAAACTTTTTCTTTATCTTGGTTTGTCCTTACCTTGATTTGTCCTTCCAGTATAAAAAATAAGTGAATAATTTTATCTTTTAGCATAATATGATGTGCTGCTATGTGTCAGAAGTAGAAATGGCTGCTATAGTAGGTATGAGAGAAGTTAAGAAGACTGAGGTAGTAGGGTTTTCAAATTTCGAAAAGGTTGAAATTGAATGGTCAGCTGGAGGTTTTTTGTTTTTTTCCTTTTTAAATCAAAAAATTAAGAAATTAAGATTGTGATATTGGAGGTTCTACAAAACTTGTGGGTTACAAATCCCATTTCCCTTATATAATATATAGATAGATACGTTAGATGTACTTGAGTGTGCCCGTCACTAGTGATTAGATCAATCTGATAATTATAACTTGTTTAATTTATCGTATTTTTAATAAAACTAGACAATAGTTATGTTTTTAAAAATAAATCATATATTTTTTTATGACAAACACAATAAATTGAACAAATTACAGTTATTGAATCGACATAATTTTTTATTAATGAATTATATCGAAACAGCACTCGTGATAGACCCCACGCCTAATAGTGCCTCTAGTCCAAATTTTGGACAGGTAAGGGATTCTCTTCCATATATATATATATATATATATAACACGAGTCAAATACACAAGAAACACTATGAATGTGCACCATATGTACCCTATAACTAAAAAGATAAATGACATAATTTTAATTTTCTAAGTCATAACTAAAAAAAGAAAAGAAAAAAATCTCATACCTAAGCACACCACGAGATATAACTAAAGAACTCGTGAGACATACCTAAAATAAAGTCATAATAAATAAGAAAATTAGTCATAACTAAAGAAGAAAATAACATTATTAGATGTGTATATGGTATACCCTTTTTAAAGGTGTGTATATTAGAATTTTTTCAAATTACATAATATAATATGAAGATGGCAAGCTAATTGGTAGTAGAAGACAAGTTTTGTATGTCAATAGGGTATCACGTGATACTATCTTTCGACAATCATAAATGGGCATGTCCTTATTGTTCTCCAAATTCTGAACATAAATGGACTATTTTGAGAAGTGAATTAAAAATCACTTCCTACATTTTAACATAATTCCCTCTCTTACAAAAAAAAGTCAAAAAAAGTAAAAAAAATAACTTTTAACCATTTTTTTAAAACACCTAATAATAAATGATACTGTCAAATCAAATCACAATAAAAATATCACATGACTTATACTCTACTCATATATAAACATTACTCGTAATAGAGACACCAACAAAACTACTTCCTACCCTGCCCACATCCACTGACATGGGCCTCTCCTACCCTGCCCACATCCACTGACATGGGCCTCACCAGTTGATTCATGTACCGGTTTGTAGCATTTATTATTCTTAATTATCCATTTATTTATTTATTTATATTATTATAAAGTAAAGATTGTTAGTAGTGTGAAGACAAAGGAAAATGATATAGATTCTTAAGGAATTATTAAATATTTTATCAAATCTCTCATACCACACTCATGTGATTTGTGTGAGTCTCATATATATGTAAAAAGTTTGGTAGAATATTTGGTAATTCATTTGCAGCAATGCTAGGTATCATGAAAAGTCTTTCATGAAAATGATCTTGAAAGATTTGTGGCCTTTGGATTACACTTAGAATAAAGCACCACATACTAATCAAGGTAATCTAAGGATTACAAATCTTTCATGATTATTTTTATGAAAGACTATTCATGATTCCTAACATTTCTCATTCATTTGAGATCTTTAGCATAATGCTGACACAAATGTATCTTATTTATTTTGTTTTCCCAAAATGTCCTATATTAGCCTACACAAATGTATCTTATTTTTTTTGTTTTCCCAAAATGTCCTATACTAGCCTTGAACTCATAACCATGAGTTTAATAATAAAACTCTTATTAATTGAACAACACACTATTTGTTTATTTCTCATTGTTTTATTCTTATAATTTATTTTATTTTTTCAAATTACACATGCATTACATGTGCGAACCACTAATTTATATTATTATTTTTTTTTACCTATACTAGCATAATGATATAGGATTTTTGTTTTTAATAATAAAAGACATGTCATTTTTATGTATAATTATGTTTGTATATGAGTTTTTAGTTTTCACCTTATAAGCCAACAACTTAAATGGATTATTTGTATATAAAAAGTCTTATTTGGGAATTGATTACTTTAATTCATTTATTAATTTTTTATGAAAAGAAGAAAAAAAGAAAAGAAAAAAGAATGATGTTATAAATTATAATAATTTTTTTAACTAAAAATCATGATTCTCCAATAGGGTCATAATATGTTTGACTAATGCCTATATATAATTGAATTTTTTGTTGTATTGTTTCACTTCCATTCAGCCATTTTATTGTGTTTGGTTGAGGGATTTGAGAAGGAATTTGGAAAGGGAAATGGAAAAGGTAGGTGAAATATGAATAAAACATGCCTAAATTTCACCTAGTTTCACACATCTTTTTACTTTTTCTTTTCAAATTTCTCTCCAAATCCTCCAATCAACCACACTATTAGTGAAGTAGAACAAGAAACTCTTTTTACGGAGTGAATGATTGTTGAATGAGCCAAAAAAAAAAAAAACAAGAAGAGTGTAAAGCAAAAATGTGAGATGCCTTGAAAGCAAACACTAATACTGATGCCACGAGGATATGCAATT